AAAAGAAGTGCAGGTTCCATGGTCTGACCATGGATGGAGTGCAAGGGTCAAAGCTGAGCCTCCTTAGAGGCTCAGATGGAGCAGTGGACAGCATACCCAGGTGCACATGGAGGATATGGCATTCCATCAGAACCTGCAGAGAACACCTGGTACCACAAGAGAGGATAGAGGACAGAACAAATCAATCAACAACCTAGACATGTGTTGGCAGTGAAAATCTGGGCAAACAGTGACTCTAAGGTGAATTATGTCAACCAGTGGATTGTGCAGCGATTTCATCATGCTTGGAATGATGAGATTGACAGCATTTTAGAACTGTTGAACTATCAAAACCACTTGAGCAGGACTCTCAGAGCATGCCCCACATCGGGGACCCGGGATGGGTGGGAGGCTGGGTGGGGCTTCTCCCTTTATCCTCCTGTTTACCCCAGATACAGAAAAAAATGTGGAAACAATAGTCTTACCCACTTTCCTGTAGCCCTTAACCCTTTGTGCCTTTATCAGCTAAGTAAAGATTGTCAAAATAAAGTAATTTAAAAAAGGAAACATTTGATGTAGTGATGTAATAGAGACTGATATACCTAGAACTTAATTTACTACAAATATAAATTAAGCTTTTCTAAGAAATAAGTCAAATAATGTACCAATAACAATGAAGTGTTAATAATGAAAGAACTGAAGGGTTTTTTTTAAGAATTTCATTCTAGCATAATTAATAAATTAGTTCAAGTGAAAGATGTCACAATTATTAAAACTTTATTCAATTATTGAATTATGTTTTAAGTGAATAGGTCACTTGACAATTATTTAAGACAATGCCATTTTCAATTTGTGGAAAATTGGTATTAATCCTTTGTCACTGAAAACTTAACTGACTATATCAGATTAATTCCTCAAAGGTCCCGTGATAGTCACCAGAGGGCTGCCTGAGCTGATGTCATATCAGAAATTTAAGTTATAGATTGTCTTGGGATCATGCATTACCATTCCTTCATCCCACAGGCTTCTTTGGAATCATAAAACACAAAGGCTTTTTTACTAGTTTTGTAAATTCCATTTGAGCATAATGAAATATGCTCTATCCGCAAAGCTTACCATAATTAAAGTTGTTCTTAATAGAAATCTACCAAGAAATAGCACAATATGGAATGATCATTAATAGACCCATTAAGCTACATGAATAAATGTCTATCAGGAGTGCCAGCACACATTAGTAAATTTCCTACAGAAAATCAATTTTCATTTCCAATTCTGACATTTTATTTAGAAAAATTACACTCTTTCATTTAATTATTCCAGTAAACATAATGAGGGTATTACTAAATACATCTCAGAGTTCTTTATTTCCTCCATTTTTTTTTTAGTAATATGAGTCTACTTGTAATTAAAGGCATGCTGCATTAATGATGCTGAAAGTCTCCAAGGAAAACATTTAATGTCCACCTCATAATATTATGCCAAAATTACATGCACAGAAGACTTTTTAATAATCTTTGTTTCCTAATGTAGTTTTGATTGGCTCTGAAATCTATGGCAGCACTCAAGGGCTCCCATTTCCACAGCCGTCAGCACTTCTGCATCATAAATCGTACCAATGCACATGACTTCTTCCGTCTGTAGGTTTCTTTTCAAAGCTTCTGTTTAACTTATCCAGAAAATTAGCTGCAGGCTGAAGATAATTGTGGATAATTTTGCCATTTTTAAGCCACTGGGGTGTTGCATGGAGAGATGACAGCTAAGTTTGTCTAAACAGAAAGAACAAATCAGCTTTGTGCTGTCGATTCAGCTTTACATCCAGGTTCTGAACACCCAATCTGCTCTTAAGCATATTGAAACAAATTATCATCCATAGATCATCTGTGTTTTCTAAGTTATGCTACCTGAAGCTTTTAGCATGCCTTTTACAAATACATTATCCAAATCTAGAAAAAGGATTTCCCCTTCCCTCCCCTCTCCTCAGATTTGTGCCTCTAGTCCACTATCACAGACAGAAATGGCAAAATTCTCTCAGAAAGAAAAAAAATGTGTATGACCAATTAATATACATTTTGCACTGAAGATTTACTATGCATATCATTCAGAATAATAGAAGAGACATATTGGTGAATATAATCATATTTACCCTTTTTCACCTAAAATTCTACCATATAATAAGAAAAAAAATACAACACTCATTGACCGTTTCTGACATATAAAAATGAAAAGTTAAAAATCAGCAGCATAGCCTCTTTACAAAGCAGCAAATGTCAATGAACTCCAACTTAATATTAAATTAATCAGCTATGGGAATTATAGGGTATTTCTCTGACCAAATGTCCTCTCAGTGCTCAGAATAGCTATAGCCACAGCTAATAAGGGTGTCACTAGCTGAGCAACTGAAGCCATTTTGCAGCAAACATTTACATATAGTGGCTAAGCAGCGAATGTGCTCATCTGGCAGCTATCCTGATGTAATAGGCCATAACGACTCTGAGGGAGCAGGTATGGATGTAAGTGTCAAGGAGGGGAGAACATGTAAGTCATAACACAAATGAATTTACGGATCCCCATTAGACCTTGGGCTAAAGAGCACTCAAACAGGTCTGCTCTGACAGCATCCTAAGACACTTTTACAGCCTTGTGTCAGGAACCCTTACGTTTCAGAGTTTTATAGAAAATCCAAAACTGCAGAAAGGGAGTGTCGCTATGTAATTCCATTGTCATTGACTTGGCATATGACACAAAACAATCCCAAAGTGTTCATGTGAAAGACAGATGATTAAATATGCTATGCCAATCACGTACATACTATGGAATATATATTAAGGATGCATAGACACCATCACTCAAGCCTCATCCTCTCCCTTCGAAAATCAGTCTGCTTGTTAGAAGTTTAAATCTACCATGGCTTCTGAATATCTGTATCAGGCAAGGCTTCGCTTGTTGAGAGACTGTCCTGCAGTATTGTGTATGAACACACAAAGCATCCATGTGGCTGCACTTAAGGAAGGGGAGGGATACTGTTTCACTCTTATTTCTCACTTGATCTCTGACATCACTTAGGCAGTGGGCTGTTGGGACTTGACTTCTTTAAGACACAGATTATGGCCCAGTCAGAAGCAGCTGGGAAGCTGTGTCATTTGTCTGTTCCCACTTGTGATGGGTGCAAGTGGTGTGCAAACACCAAGTCAACTCCTTAACAAGATGGGCAGGAGTAGTGCTGAGCAAGCATTCTCTGACTAGAGGCTAAGCTCAGGAAAGCTGCAGTTACAAAAATCACACCTTGAACACATCATCCAGAGCTTACACAAGTAGAAACATTATTCTGAAAAAAGGATGCTTTTATTTAGAACCGTTCATTATTAAACAATCCCTAGAGAAGCATATTGTTACAAGTGTCATGTAAACCAGTATGTAGAGCTGGAGTGTTCTTAATAATAAGGAGAATTGGGCCAGATCTCTTCCTCTGCTACAAGGAGTGGATGATTGCACAACCTATCACCCAGACAGCAATTTTATTCCAGATTTGCAATGAGAGCTTAAATTTGACCTTTTATGAGAAATTATTATAGTTCTTATATAATTCAACAAAAGTCCCAGCTTTTTTGCAGATTTATTACAGTTTTGCTAATGTATTTCAACAAACTCCTTTTCTCAAAGTCTCTGGTTTCTAAAAGGCAACTTCTTTGTAAAACACATACCAGATTCCAGGAGAGACAGTCCTCTCTTTGAAATATTTAGTCTTTCCAGGCACTTTAGTCATAGTGACACCTAATAGCCAGGCTCTTTTTCTCACTCTCCACAAAATCAGGTTTAGACGATAATTCAAACCAGTCCCCAAAGGCACTTCTGAAAAATGGCAAGCCCTTTGCTTTTAGGTGAAAACACTCTTTATTGCTCAAAATTGTTTCCTGTTACAAAACCTTTTCGCTAGTGCTAGGGCTAAGATGATCTTATGCTAATTTAACTCACTGGGGACTGGGAACAGATGTTACCTTGATTAATAGTTTCACTATCCTGAAAATGCCAGGCCAGGTTCAAGATAATAAAATCAGGTAAGAATACTATTAAAACCTGCCATGCGATGATGCCAGTTATGTGAAGAAAAATGGGATCCCAGTGCTTGAATCAATTAAAAATCACTTATAATACAAAGCAAAAACACACACCAAATGAACACACAATCCAAATTCTTTAGTGCGTGAATTTGCATACTTTTAATGGTCATTCTCATTACTAATACCTTATAGATTATAGCTTTATCTGCAATGAAATTCTAATATGTCTCTCAATTGTTACCTTTTCATATATTTCACTTTCAATGCAGAAAAAGACTTATATATAACATTGGAATAATGAATAATAACTTAGCTTGCAAAAGAATCGTATTTGCATTTTAATGCCCCAGGTTGCTACGTTTCAGCAAATATTTTTTTTCAATAGTCCAATATTCATTATTAAAGTACCCACACAAAATGATCCTTGGAAATCAAGTCCCACGTGACGTGACAAAAGACTCTTTTGGAAGACTTTAGTAGTTCTCACTTGTGCTCACTGGTCACTTAACTGAGGAATTTCAAATCACCATAGTTCCTTACGAGGAGAACCATGAGATAAAATATAATCCTTAACTAAGGAATTTGGGGTTGACCTCACACAGGGGTGTGAAGAAGCCTTTACTTTTTAAAACTGGCTCGCCAAAAGATTTTATCCGCAGATCACACACTAATTGTTCCTATCCGGAATGCAACTTTTAGTTGGGGTTTCTCTGACATTCATGCAGTGCACCTGATTCCATGACACTTTGGATTGTCAGGGAAGCAGTTCATTGGTCACCCTGTGCAATTGCAATTCCAGGAAGCTCAAGCCTCCAGAGAATGATGCTGGCCTGCTAATACAAATCTACCACCTGCAGAGTCAGCACATGGCTTGGACTGAGTCTTCTCATCCACATCTGTACACATATATTAATTGGTTTCATATCTATGAAACACTCTCTGCAAAAGTGTTGTCTCACTCACCATTGCACAGAAGGTCTCCGGAGGATCTCCACAAGTAATGTCCGGAGGATCCAGTTTCACTTTCAGATATTTTGTCATGTCTGTGGATTCGGGTTGACAGGCCATGTAATCCCAAACTTTCCCTTCTTCTGTGTAAATCTGAGTCTTACACACGTCGTAATGTCCCCACACCAAAGGGTAGGGCTGCATCACAGAGGACACTGTAACCCAAAGGGCATGGATCGACAGGAATCTTGATAAATACATCTCTAAATTCTTTGAAATCTTCGCGGCTTGTTTTTGACCTGTATCTATTTTACAGAAGCATGTATGTCTCTATTTAGGTAGGTCCATATATTAAAAATAAATAAAGAGGAAGAGAACTCAAAGCAGATTCCAAAAGCAAATGTGCTGGGTTAAATACTGTGCATGTTCAGGTATACCGAGGATGTTGTTGAAGTCTAACATACTTGTGAGGCAGCTGCTAGCAATAACTTACAGCTGCTGTTGCTTTTTTTTCTCTTGTCCTAGAACATATCTGTTAGACTTGGATCTAGTTGGTTTCTTGTAAAATACGTCCAGTAACAGAGAATAATTTAGCGAAGTGATGGCTCTCCCATTGTGCTTTCGATAACCCTGAGTGATCCTCAATGTTCACAGCTCACAATGGATGCTCAGAAGCAATGAGATATCAGTATCTGAAGCAAAAGGATGAGTGTCTACAGCCTGGTGTCTGCTTCCCATCAATCATTCTTTTCTTCTGGCACCAACACCCTTTTGGAAACAGTAAGAGTAAAAGTTATTGTCTCAGAATCAATGCATTACAAAATGTATGACATATTGACATTTGGAGATTTGGTTCAATACTTAGCAAACTGCTATAATATGGATAATGTACACTCTACTGTGTTGCTACAATGAGCATACAAAGAAAATTGCTCATGTTGGGGAAGATTTTAATATGAAAGATTTAACTCTTCTGCAACAAAGACGGATGTGTGTATTCCAGATAAGTTACAGGTTTTCACTTCAGAAATTATATTTTCATCTTGAAAGAAACTGAGAACAAGCAACTAGATTTAAACCTTTCTCATAGACTGCAGGGTTAGAAAATATGCATGAGAACAAGGGGGAAATAGCACTTTTATAATGATGACAAGGAGATGACAATGGCTTGTACACCTTTTGCCTCTTGGCACTGAGACCCTAAAAGTCTCCAAATTCCTTCTACATGTCTTAGCTTTAGCTAGCTTGAGGGAAAGCCAGCATTGCATCACAGGCCTGTGCCCCAGAATTTGCTCATTATATTGAAAAAATTGAGTATCTTTTGTTCAGTTGTATTAAGTGATAATGATAACCTGACTTTATGAAAAAAATATTCAAAAATAAAGCCAAGGGAACAAATTTTCATTTCATAAGAATTTTCTATTTTCTTATAGCTTTTTATAGCCGTTTACATCTGCATGTGCAGCTCCTTTCTGTAACAGGAGAGAATTTGTCCCAAAGGCAAATATTATACACTGCTTTAAAACTAAAAGCTCCTTAGTAAAATGCACAACTTAAAATGCACATACAGAAATAGCTGAGGGTGAGTTAACAGGCCGTGAAGCAGAATAATATGGCACTAATTCTAAGAGAAACTAAAAATGACTGTTTCAAAGTACTCCTGGTTAACTGATAGTAGAGTCTTCACAGTGATGGTGAGGAATCGTTGGTGAGTTGAACCGGTAATCACTATCTTTGAGAAATCACAGATATCACAGCCTAAATATGGGAATGCACTATCTTCAAACAATCTTATAAAAGAATTCACTATATATAAGTAATATACCATCTTAAAATGAACTAGGCACAGAGACTTTGAAATGCCAACAGATGGCTGAATTGTGTTTCCATAGCAAAGTAATTTATAATAATTGCTTTATGGATGCAAGTGCAATTTTCATTATATTCAATTCATAAAATTTTATCATACAGCTGCAATTTGTGATATTTTCTATTAGGAAAAGTGTTGAATATTTGAGTTCCTATGAAGCAATAATTAGCAGTTTGTCTAAATATGTATAAACTACAGATTTAAATCTGCCTCTTCCTTGTAATGGAAAGACTGCACTTTCCTCATCACATTTTGAAATTTTATGATAAAAAGAAAAACATCAGAAAGAAACATGTAGTGGCTACCATAGCCTTCTTTTTTTAGATTCATTAGAAATTTTAAAATCATACTTTCAGAAACTTCCACCAATTTGACAGTTAATAATCTGAAAACTTGTCAAAATTATACACATCTACCTTTTTCAGTTGCATCTTTCAACTGTTTTGGACCTTAGCAGAAAACAAAAAGAAAAACAACAACAAAAAAAACAATACTGGACAAGATGGAGGCATTATGTCTGAATCAAAGTAGAAGCCACTAGATCAGATATTGTGTCCTTCATTGACTAGTTTCAATTACACAACAATTTATTTGTTGAGAGCAATATAATCTTGAGAATCTGGAATTTAAGATTCTGCATTTAAACCAAATGAAAATTATGAATGCCCTTCGAGACCATGCTTCCTGTTGCTTGTAACCAACAATGCTATTCTCCTGATCCTTTTATTCCTACTTATTCTGATTTCATCTGCCTTGTGCTTTCCTGCAACTACAAAATAAAGGATGACTACACATACATGTCCATGAAAAATTTCAACACTAAAAAATGCATGTGAGCCTGTTACTGTCTCCTGACCCAATAGCAATCCCAATGTAACGAATTCTCATTAAAGTCTACCGGAATCATAATGATGGTCATTACACAGAATTATGGACCACAGCATTGATTGAATTTCGAGAACTGACAAGGAAAAACGCAAAGGAGTGCAAGATATTTGAATATTAGGCAGTTGCAGGACTGTGCGACAGACATTCTTGACAAGAAGCACCCAATTATAGCTTAAATTTCTGGCACATAACCAGTTGTGATTAATAGTTTTCCATTACATTACAGACATATTATTAATGTATTAAAAATGTCAAGCTTTGGCAAGCACTAATATGGCATGGCTCAGTTAGTCTGCAGAATTCACATTTAATGAGCTCCCATTGACACAGAAGGAGATATTGACCATGGCATATTACAGACCAGCAGCAGAGGGTCACTGAGCTGTTCTTTAGCATAATTATGCAATTCCATTCTTGTATTCATGTTTGTACCATCACCTACTAGGCACCCTTCAGTCAAGGATCTTTCTTGTTTCAGTGCCACATGAACTTCACAGAAATATCCCTTTAACTTCAAACTAATAAGAAATGAAATCCATGGAATGCCCATGCCACATGACAGAAAAAAAGCATGTACAGACATCAGGAATTTGCCATCAAAGTATAATTATGAATATTTGAGAGAAAAGAAAATGATGTAAAAATAGCATGTTATTTACAGTGTGACCTCCATAACCTAATGGCACTGAGTCCTATCTGTCTGTGTTTTCAACCAGGTTAAAAATATCAACTGCTTCTTCAAAGCTAAAGCTTCTCAGCAAACAGCCAGGCAAACTGATTATGAAAAGGACAATCAATATCATATTTTGGACCTAATATACTAAGGGCATCCCTTTTGGTCCATAATTCAACTAATAGCCAGATAAAAATGGCCTTTGAATTTGTCTCAGGTGTCTGGATCCCCTACAGAAGCACATTGTCACAGGAGCCCTAGGCCGCCCCAATCCAGAACTTGGTGCTGTGACCCTCGGGAACCCACTTGTAAGCAAATAATGCAATTCTCTCCTCATGCGAGTGAAAGTACTGAGAAGTCCTCTTTGATAAAAAGACACATTAATATGCTGCGAATAGTCCACAGACCTCCACTGTATAAATTTGCGGAGCCAGTGAAAAATACAAAATTATGTCACAGTTTTCAACTTGATGGATATTGGTGATCAGGACAAAAATGAGCTAAAAATGGCTTTGCATTCATGGGACATATTTTTCCCAGAATCTGTGCCTACTTCACTTCCACCTTAGCTTAACTTTGCAGAAGGCAATTCATAGGCCCGTTCCCATCAAGGAAAAAACAAATGAACAAACAAAATATTTCATGAACACAATAATGGTTAAAATTATAGACAATTATAGCTCAAATGCAATTGCCAGTTTCATCAGCAGAGAGGAAAATATTGCCAGTAAATCGACCGACTCTAACTGGCTTTCAGCACTGTTAATTATTGCATAACCTCACTGGGGGTGGGGGTGGTAGTAGGCTATTTGTTCCATAAATATTCCGTTCTTTAGGGGCACCTGAAATAGGCAACTATTGACTCACTCCTCATAGACATTAAGAATTTTATAAATATGCATGCTTCTGAATGAGAAAGAACAAAAGAAAAACTGACTGGAATCACACTCCACTGAGTGAAAAATACTGAGAGATAAAGACATCCAAACTCCATAACCTTTAAAAATCAGCAGCTTCCAATACAGTCATGATAAAATTGGTTATATGAGATATCTGAGCATATGTTGAATGCTCTTTGCACTTACTTATTTGTTGTGAAGAGGGTGTTTTTCGATTATCTTACTGAGAAACCTGTTCCTATTCCTTTGTTAACTGTCTCTCAAACACAAGCTATTCAACATGTTCTGCAACATTCAATGGCATATCTTACTCATACGTGATTGGACATAATAAACCACTGCCTGTCATGAGGCTCTTAATAGCAACAAACAATAAACCTTGGTATCTGAAAGACCTCTATTGTCCTCCAAAAAAAGATGGATTAGAGAAATTAGATAGCACAATTTCTTTTTGCAGGATGATTCCCGATAGGATAATAATAAAATTATTTCAGACTCACTTACGCCTAGGAGAAATCTGGTGTTTAATTAACATATGAACAACAAATACTCCATTCTTACACAGGGAAGTGTAGCAATCCAAGGCCTCATTGTACATCTGAGACAATGTACACCCACCTGAAGTTTTGAAACAGAACTCTGGGTTCTGGAAATAAAATTAGTTTTAAACATGTGCAAAATCTCTTACTGACCTATAACAAAACATAATTCAAACACCCACATTTTTCAGTATTAACAAAGAATTAATTTTCTAAGTTGCACAAAATTACTTTCCAAGTAACTGGTATTTCTGTAACTCAAAACTCCTCCAAATTTCCTAGCACTTAGAAAATGAATCAAATAGTGGCATAATTGTTTAACTTTTTAAATTATTTCCTGGTGTTTTTCAGAGTAATAACGGAAGCAAAGTAAAGTATGTGTATCAATTACA